GCAAACCTGCTGAATTTTTTTATTAGTTCTAATTAATTTTGTAGTGGATTCTGTCAGATTTTTCTATTTGTAGGATCATACCTTCTTTGAATAGAGGTAGTTTTACTTCTTCCTCTCCAATCTGGATGCCTTTTATTTTTCTTACAGTTTCTTCTTCCACCTCTCTTTGGTTTGCCATGATTCTTCATTGTGCAGACTCAGTGTTATAACTTCTCTTCTTGCTATCTTTTTGTATGCTCTGAATTTTCAAGTTTAAATTTGAGAAAGTGAATAGAGAGAAGAAAGGGAGAAAGACATAGAGAACTGAGTAGCTCAAGTGTTAGCTATTACTTTTCTAAGGGTAAAGCTTTGCATTCTAGCTCATAGGTGTCTGGCTAGTAAATGCTGCCTTTGGATTAGATGTGTGGGAAGTAGAAAAGTTCCTTTTTAAAGTTTCCTTTCTTGTTTAAAAAAAAAAAAGTGTGCTAATAGCTCTTTGTGAGCCCTATCCTATGTAGCTGTTAAACACGCCATGCTTACAGGCATGTAGTACACTCTATGTCCTTATACTTTAGCTAAGGTATCTGTGCTGATGTGCTTACAGGCATGTTCCAGCTCTCCATTGCTTTTAACTGTTTAGAAAAGTTTTAAGTTGTTAGCCAGTCGGGTTTTAGTTTAGATTGTGGGGTCTGGCTCCATCCAACGGAGAGCAGACACAGCAGTAAGGGCCACCCCAAATGCATAAGGGATACATTTGCGTGTTTTCCTTTATTCTTTGTACTCTCATGGCAAGATGGCTAGTGAGAGTACCTTTCCTGCAGTCCAGGAAGTAGAAATTGTGTTGCTGAAAGATCCTTTGTCTCAGTGCTAATTTTTCTTTGGGGCACCAAGCATCTGTTTCCAACATCTATTGCCAACAACCATTAATAAGCTGAAGTTAGAAAGAAAGAAAGGCCACAGGTTCTGTGTAGCTCAAGAAGGGATTGTATGGGCGTGACTGGCCTGGAAATTGACATGAATAGAACAATACTGTTAGAGAAGGCATTTTTTTTACAAGAATACATTGGATTTTTTTTTTTAAACTCAGAAGTCATCTTTGTAATGTTGGCTAAAATGCATTCGGATGTCTGAAATGTTTTTTGATTGTCTGTTTGATATGACCACTTACATATTTTTGTATCATAAAAAATGAAGGCACCCCACTACCTTCTCATGCTTAGCATTCATCATCTTTCATGTATTTGTTTGAAAAAACTCTATTTAATATTCTAAGGAGATAAATATTTAAGACAACCGGAGGTTCCTTCATCTCTTTACTCTCTCCAAGAAAGGCTTTCTTTGTACTTGGTTATTTTGGCAAGTGCTTATTGAGCATATGTTTTATATAGAACTGCCCATATTCCCTATGTATTGGGGTAATAAGTGAGAGTGTGTTTGTGGAGGGGAAGGTCCCCGAAAATGAAAATCATAATTCCCGGGAGTTTTAGTTCCTAGTAGAATAAAGAGTTGGGCTGGGCTTTGTGGCTCATGCTTGTAATCCCAGCGCTTTGGGAGGCTTGAGCTCAAGAGTTTGAGACCAGCCTGGGCAACATAGTGAGACCACAGCCAGGTGGCACATACCTGTGGTCCTAGCTACTCTGGAGGCGTACATTTGAGCCTGGGAGGTTGAGGCTGCAGTGAGCGGTGATCGGGCCACTGCACTTTAGCCGAGGCAACAGAGCAAGACCCTCTCTCAAAAAAAAAAAAAAAAAAAAAAACCAAGAAAGAAAAAAGAACAAAGTAGCACGTAGTCTCATAACTGCAAAGTAACATAGTAAATTTGAAAAGAATGTAATGATGAGATGTAATCAACACTCTGCTACTGACCAGTGATATAGAGATTAAAAAGATATGGTTTCTGCTCTAAAGATTCATACAGTAAGCGTGGGCGCGGTGGTTCACCCCTGTAATTCCAGCACTTTGGAAGGCTGAGGCAGGCAGATCACAAGGTCAGGAGATGGAGACTATCCTGGCCAACATGGTGAAACCACGTGTCTACTAAAAATACAAAAATATTAGCTGGGCGAGGTGGTATGTGCCTGTAGTCCCAGCTACTCCGGAGGCTGAGGCAGGAGAATCACTTGAACTTGGGAGGCGGAAGTTGCATGAGCCTAGAGTGCACCACTGCACTTCAGCCTGGTGACAGAGCAGGACTCTGTCTCAAAAACAAACAAACAAACAAACAAACAAACAAACAAACACACAAACAAACAAAAGATTCATACCGTAATAGAGTAATAGATCAGCACATAACTGAAGCTCAAAAATGTGACTGCATTGTAGATGCCTTTGGCACAAGAGAATGCATGGTGTGTTGGGGTCCGCTGCTTTTAATGCTGAGAGGGATTAATTGAAGAATAGTACCATCATTAACCTAATTTCTACTGAGAATCATCTGCCTCTGTAAAACTAAGGTCATATGGCTAAACTTAGTGTAACAGTGTGTTTAGCAAAAAATAAATATGTACATGGATAACCTGAAAACTATTTACTGGTCTTGTATAAGTGAAATGTTGAACTATTATTAGAGACTTTCCACAATAGATTATCTCAACACCTCTGATGTAGTTTTAATTCCTCCACTAATTCATGACGTCTTTGGCCATCACTTAGCTTTTCTCTGCCTAACCCTACTGTGGCCTAACTTATGTAACTGAAATAGTTATAGAAGGAGACACAAAAGTGGAAAGTGAATCCTCTGCGCACTTGGTGCAAAAAATTTATTCTCTGAATAAATGTATTTTCTCATAGGTTTGAAAACCATAGTACTTACAATTTTACTTTACAAAAAGAAAAAAAATCACAGATACATAGTTCATGAGATAAGGGACATAGAGCAAATATACTTTCATTTTTATGGCTAAGACTAAACTACAGTCATTCAGGTGCTGCGTAACAGTGTTTCAGTCAATGAAGAACCTCATATGTGGCGGCGGAATCCTAAGATTACAATGGAGCTGAAGAAGTCCTGTCGCCTAGTATTTACTATACTATGCTTTTTATCGTTAGGTTAAAGTGCATTCTTTCTACTTATAAAAAAAAGTTGGGCCGGGCGCGGTGGCTCACGCCTGTAATCCCAGCACTTTGGGAGGCCGAGGCGAGTGGATCACGAGGTCGGCAGATCGAGACCATCCTGGTCAACATGGTGAAACCCCGTCTCTACTAAAGATACAAAAAATTAGCTGGGCATGGTGGCGCATGCCTGTAATCCCAGCTACTCAGGAGGCTGAGGCAGGAGAATTGCCTGAACCCAGGAAGCGGAGGTTGCGGTGAGCCGAGATCGCGCCATTGCACTCCAGCCTGGGTAACAAGAGCGAAACTCCGTCTCAAAAAAAAAAAAAAAAAAAAAAAAGTTAATTGTAAAACAGCCTCAGGCGGTCCTTCAGAAGGTATTACAGAAGGCATTGTTATCACAGGAGACAGCTTCTTACGAGTTACTGCCTCCAAAGACCTTTCAGTGGGACAAGATGTGAAAGAAGAAGACAGTGATATTGATGATCATGTCTCTGTGTAGGTCTAGGCTAATGCGTGTGTTTGTTTCTTAATTTTTTTTTTTTTTTTTTTTTTGGAGATGAAGTTTGGCTCTTGTTGTCCAAGCTGGAGTGCAATGACACAATCTCTGCTCACTGCAACCTTCACCTCCTGGATTCAAACGATTCTCCTGCCTCAGCCTTCCAAGTAGCGGGAATTACAGGTGCCTGCCATCACGTCCAGCTAATTTTTTGTATTTTTAATAGAGAGAGGGGTGGGGGGAGTTCACCTTGTTGGTCTTGAACTCCTGATCTCAAGTGATCTGCCGGCCTCGGCCTCCCAAAGTGCTAGGATTACAGGTGTGAGGCACCACGCCTGGACTTATGTCTTAATTTTTAACAAAAATGTTGAAAAAGTAAAAAATAAATAGTTTTAAAAATAGAAAAAATTTATAGAATAAGTATATAAAGAAATATTTTTGTACAACTATATAGTGTTTGTGTTTTAAGCTAAGTGTTATTAAAGACTCAAAAAGTTAAAAAATGAGTTTATAAATTTAAAAAGTTACAGTAAGCTAAGGTTTTTTCTTGAAGAATAAAAATATTTGAAAATAAATTTAGCATTGTCTACGTGCATAGTGTTGATAAAAGGCATAGTACCATATAGTCATGTCCCAGGCCTTCACATTCAACTCACCACTTAACTCATTGACTCACCCGGGGCAACTTCCAGTCCTGAAAGCTCCACTCATGGTAAGCACCCTATAGAAATGTACCATTTTTTATCTTTGTTTTTTTTTTTTTTTTTTTTAATAGAACCCTTTAAGAATTTGTGTGTCATCCTTGCGCAGGGGCAAGGCTAATCTCTGTAGTATTCAAATTGTTGTAGATGTGTTGTCAAAGCAAGCACTTTTATACTGTTTTTACTGTACATTTTCTATGTTTAGATATATCTGAATACACAAATACCACTTTGTTGCAACGGCCTGCAGTATTTAGTACAGTGACATGCTGTACATCTTTGTTGCCTAGGAGCAATAGATTATACCCAGTGGCCCAGGTGTGTAGCACGCTACACCATCTGGGTTTGCGTAAGTACACCCTATGATGTTTGTGCAACCACAAAGACACCTAACCAGGCATTTCTCAGAAGTAGTCTTCATTAAGTGACCCCATGACTGTAATGAAACACTAAGATTTGAGCCAGGAGTTTGTGTATAGAAATCTAGGAATGGCTTCATTAGGAACATGCATCTTTCTCATTAAACTCTGGGTCCCTTCGAGAGACAGATTGTGTCTCTGAACTCAGTGGCCTAAATTTCTAGAATCACGTTTTCAAAAAGTTGCCCAGTTAGACGTCTCTGGGGATTCAAGACTACAACTCCCAGAACGCCATGCTCCCTTTGCGCGTTCAGGAGCGGGTAGAGAATGTCCCAGCATTCATCGCGCCAGATCGAGACCACAGTTCCCACTACGCCCAGGGACTCCGGGGAAAGCTTGTCAAACACCACCTGTTGCCATAGCATCCGGGTTGGGTGAACCAATCCGGGCGTCCTTGCCGAACAGAGGCGGGAAGTTCGCATCTTCGACCAACCCGAGGCGTTTTTGTTGTGGCGCGTGACCGGAGGAGGCGGGAGCTCAGGACCGGCGCCTTCTCCTTGCTTCTGGGGTCGTGGCCTTGCTCCCGCTGTGCGGGAAAAGAATCTAGGCCCCTCCACGCGCTTGTGGGCGCGGGGGCCCCAGAGTGCTCGTGGTTCCGCGCTAGGTGTCTGTGGGGGGGCAGGAACCGGAGCCATGGGTGGGACCGGCAGCACCCGCCGAGTCACCTTCGAGGCGGACGAGAATGAGAACATCACCGTGGTGAAGGGCATCCGGGTGAGTGCCCGTGGACGGGCGGAGGGCCAGTGCTTGCACTCATACCCCATCTTCCCGGGACCCGCTCAGCCTGGTTTCTCCCGTCCTGGCCCTCAGTGTCGTACGGCCAGAAGTCCAGGTGTCTGGGAAGAAATCCAGAGTTTCAAGACGTGGGAGATTCATTCAGAGTTAGTTCTCGTTTGTGTGCCAGATGTTAGGCACTGCTGCGAGCGGGGGGTGCCAGGTTGAATTAGACCCTGCAAGGACTCAGTCTGCTCTTAACTGTGCTGCTCACTGGCTGCAGGACTTTATTTGAAACGCATGCCTCAGTGTACCTGTCTGTGAAATGGGTCTCCTCCTGGGTTCAGGACCCAAATCCTGCTTTTCCACTGCCCACACCCTGTCTCCCAGGGTGAATTGGCATCTTAAGGAACGCCTTTATTTGCTTTGTGTTATTTAGTGCTCTCCCTCGGATAATACCCCCTCCTCCCACTCCCACCCGCGGTGATCCCACCCTCCCACCCCCACAGTCTTTTCTGGCCTGCCTGGGGTGGCTTCTGGCTTCTCCCTGCTTCACTTTCACTTGATATCTCCTCTTTCCCAGGCGCTTCCTCTGTGACCTGCCGCGCCGAAGTTTTGGACTAGGCCCAGTTGCTTCAGGACTAGTGTCTGCCAGTCTGCTAGGGGCTGAGATAGGTTTGCAGTTTTTCAGATCAGTAGAATTAATCTAGTCATTTCTGACCAACATTGTCGAGAACTTTGTTTTAATGCCCTCTGCATGCACCGGATCCATAAACTGAAAACTTGGTTTTTCTCTAGCGTGTCGTAATACCAGCAACTAACTTCATTAACGCTCTCTCCGCTGCGCCTGAATTTGGAGCCTCACGTTTTTGGACGTATGATGCCTGAACCTAGTAAATAAAGCAATTTTGACTTCAGAAAGTTTTATAATACTTCATATATTTCTTTTCTGTTATCGACCAGCATAAATTACATTTGTAAATTATTTTTGACAGTTGTTACCCGGAAATAAAACTTCTTAAATATTTAAAATGTTTAAAAAACTTTTCTTCTGAAACTGTTACCTTGAGAAGAATTTATTAAACTTTTCTTTATAGAAACTCAGACTGTTGAACTCAGTTTTTGGTCTGTGACCAGCATTTCTTTATATCGTACTCATGAATGGTAGTACTACATTTTGTAATAAACTATGTGAGGCTGCATTCTTTGAGTTATTATGGTTCAGTTACTACTCTCTGGTGTAAAAAGTTATTGTAAACTCTAGGTTTTATGCAGAGATTTTAAGACTCTTGCCATTCGGCCTTCGGTATGCCACTCAGGGTGAAACATAATTAAAAGGCAAAGCAAAATAAGTTTTGGGTGAGAAGACCTTGTTAGAAAAAAATGTATAAATCCGGGGCGGGGTGTGGTGGCTCATTCCTGTAGTGCCAGCAGTTTGGGAGACTGAGGCAGGTGGATCACGAGGTCAGGAGTTCAAGACCAACCTGGCCAAGATGATGAAACCCCATCTCTACTAAAAATACAAAAAATTAGCTGGGTGTGGTGGCGTGCACCTGTAGTCCCAGCTACTTGGGAGGCTGAGACAGAGAATTGCTTGAACCTGGGAGGTGGAGCTTGTAGTGAGCTGAGACTGCGCCAATGCACTCCAGCCTCTGTCTCAAAACGAAAAAAAAAAGAAAAAATGATAAATCCGTATTCTCATGCTTTAGTACAGACACAGTGCTAACAGCAAACAAAATTGAAAGAGAATGTGGCCACAGCACAGAGGTTCATATTAAGAATTAGATAAGATTGGATGGAATAACTGACAGTAGGGATATGAATTCTATTAAAATGGAAAAATTGTCTAAAACACCTTTTTAATATTTGTTTTTTAAAAAGAAACTGTCCTTTGGCCATATAACTTGACAGCATTCTTCATTTCTTTGCTTCCTCATATAGTACGTTTTGTCTATGTTGCTGTAGTTCAAGCATGCTCATCCTGACCTCTGTGCTTTTCTGCAGAATATACCCTTCACCTGGAATGCCCTTGCTCTGGTCTCCATTGCTTCAGATCCACCTTTCACATGAATGTTTTGCAATCTCTCTGAACGTCAGTTTTCTCATCTGCAAAATAATGGGGTTAAGTACATCTCTCAGATCTCTGATATTTTCCAGTCCTGAAATCCTGTGAGTCTGGTGGCTCTCTTAAGTTTCTTGTAACCATACTTAGCCCATTGCAGTTTCTTCTAGAGGTGACATCCTTAAGTATTGAGTACACAGAGGTTGTTCTGATTTCTTTGAGCTCATGATCAAAAGAGTGCCAACTTGAAATTAAACAGACCTCAGTTTAAATCTCAGGTTAGATATTTATTTAATATTTAACCTGATTGCCTGTGTGATTTTTGTCTAGGTTTTCTGTAGATGTTTTCAGTTGATCTTAATATTTTCCTGGCTTGAATTAAGCAGATATCAGTTTAAATCACAGGTTAGGTATTTATTAGCCTGTGACCTTGGATAATTGACTTCTCTTATTATTTCCTTATCCATAAAGCATAATACTATCATTTCCCTTGATAGATTGTGTTAAGAAGATGAGACAAGGTATGTAAAGCACCTGGCACATTGTAGATTTTCATTAAAAAGGCAGCCATTATTATGATAGGGTTCCTTTCACATCCAAAGTTATAAGGTTCTTTGAAAGTGCTGTGCCATGTAGTGGAAAGAGCGTGTGCCTTGGAACCAAGGAGACCTGGGTTGGTTTCCAGCTCCGCCTCTCACTAGCCATGTGGTTCTGGGTAAGTCACTTCATTATGTTTCTGTAGTCAGTATTTCCGGATAAAGCAGCCTGCTTTCAGAATTTGATGTAATGTATGTATCTAGCGCAGTATCTAGTACTTTGCCAGTGTTTGCACTTCTGAGTAGTAACTGTTATTAGAGCTGTTCAAAAGAATGGATACATGAACTTTTGTGAACTTAAAATGTTAATAAAAATAGGAGCCTGTTGTGCTCCCATAGGTGTACCTAAAGGGGTGTGGACTGGGAAATGGGAGTCTTGCATTCTGCCCTAAATGAGGGTGTGTTTTTTTTGGTCTAAGACTGTTGTAGATGGGTTTTAGTTCTTTATATTTTTCTTGGCTTGAAACAGTCATGTTTCCTTCTGAGACATGGGGAAGGATAAGAAACCGCATTCTCAGTATGTACGTTAGCCATTGTTTTTAGCTCAGTTGGTGAGAACATGGTGCTGATGAGGCACCAAACTTCAGTTTTGAACTGCAGTTGGGTTAGTTCAGCTTGGCTGAAGAAAACTTTCCAACTTTGCCCAGTCAGCATTTATGTCATTGGTTGTAAGGACTGAAAGTTTACCAAGCTTACTAATAATTCAGCAGTCAGTCTCTGCTGGAAAGCGAATTCGGTGTTCTGTTATGCTGTTAAAGGTAGTACAGATGGTTGGCTATTAGGATTTTTTGACCTAGGTGGGAAAGTGACAAGCGTTCAGTAACCTCAACTTATGGCATTACCTTCAGTGAAACTGGTTGTAAACCAAGAAGCATCTATAATTTCATCTTCATTTTTTTTAATATAATGACTTGGGTTCATTCCCTTAATATAAATATGTTGGCAATTATGAGCTTTTTTTGGATTAGAGTCTCCTCCGTATGTTGCCCAAGCTGGTCCTGGGCTCAAGCTATCCTTCTGCCTCACCCTCTGGGACTACAGGCATGTGCCACTCAGCGAGGCCCAGTCATCATTTATCTTAATGTTTAAAGAGTAACATTTAGTGAACAACATAAGGCTTTTGGTAACTACGTTGAATATTTATTTATTTATTTATTTGGGACAAGTCTTGTCTATTGCCCAGACTGGGGGCAGTGACGCAATCTCAGCTTGCTGTAACCTCCGCCTCCCGGGTTCAAGTAATTCTCCTGCTTCAGCCTCCTGAGTAGCTGGGATTATAGGCATGTGCCACCATGCCCTGCTAATTTCTTTTGTATGTTTAGTGGCGGGACGGGGGTTTTCACCACGTTGGCCAGGCTGGTCTCGAATTCCTGACCTCAAGTGATCTGCCCGTCTCAGCCTCCCAAAATGTTGGGATTACAGGCGTGAGACAACACGCCTGGCTGAATTTATTAACAGATTGTGTTTCTCTATTGTTGAGGTCCTTAATAGCAATGAAAGGACTTACCTCAAATTTTAAGTTTAAAGTTTCTTCTCACATACCAAGTGTTATTTTTCATGGTATTTATACGGTCTTGTTATTTCCCTTTGTCCTTAGCAATTGATAGCTTTTCTTCCCTCTTCCGTAAAAACAACCCATATTTTTACACCTTATTCCAACTTTGAATCTGAAACTGCTCATATGAATTGGATGAAAGGTCACTCTTGTGCCTTGCCCTCTTCTCAAGGCTAAAATACATTTCTAGAGATGGAAAGACCAAGCATTTTCATTACTCATATTACATGTGCTTGATAGGGTTTTTGTGAGCACCTGCCGTGCCTTCTTGGGAAGCATGCTTACAACTCAGTCTTTTGCAAGTTTATCTGAAACATCAAAGCTGTGAGTGAACTCAGGAGCAAATGCCAACTTCAATGAGTATCATTTTCAAAGATATATTTATCATGCTTTCCAGACATAAACGAATGTCTGCAGCTGGGCCTTAAAGTGGCAAGCTGAAATTCACAGGAGCCAGTTATGGCAGTATGGATACTTAATATGGAACATAACTCATGCTTTGGGAAGTGTTGGCAGTTGAGACCCTAAACGAAGAGATTACTTAATATGGGATATGATTGAGGATTCTGAAGAGAGTGTGTTATCAGAGACTACAAATTCTGTCAGCCATTCGGAGTGTTGAAGAATGTTGTACAAATAATTTCATTAAGTAGAAGATGATTAGCTCCTTCCAGCTTTAGAGTCTATGAAGCTCTTGGGCTGAGTACCATCTTAAGTTGTCTAGGATTTTATAAAGATAGAGATTATGGTTTCTACTAATGACAAATGTAAAGAAACACAAGTTACA